CGGAAGGGAAGCAACATCAAAAGGTGTCTATTCATCATATCGGTATACGCACCGATCAATTACAATTCTGATACCCAAAAGGACGCTTTCTGCGATGAACTCATCGATATCATGTGGCTGAGTCACAACTCCGATATAGTTAGACTTTCAGGTGACTTTAACGCGCAAGTTGGAAAACTGAGCGCATCAGAAGCCTGTCTAGGCGGAAGTTGTGCTCTGTTCTGCCAACGAACAGATAACGACGATCGACTTCTTCAGTTCTGCGCAGACCATCATCTGTTCTTATCTAGTACCAACTTCCGACACGCTCTTGACGGACGGAAACTTGGCGCTCCAGTTCAACTGGTATGCTAACTCAAATCGACCAAATAGCAGTAAGCTATCGTTGGCATGGCTCAATGCAAAAATAGAGGTCCTATTGGACCTCCTGCGTTGATTCTGACCACGCATTAGTTTTGATGCAGTTCACTCTACGAATGACTGGCCGGAGTCAACACCCGCAAACTCTTATAGCTCATCATTGACCATCAGTTCCAACAGTTCGCGTGCGCCATAAATCAGAATTTGTGCGTGGACTAAGCGCGCCACAACCTGATGATGTAGATAAGCAGTGGGATCAGATAAGGCGAACAATACATTCCGTAGCGAATGTTGCTTGTGGGTCTGAGTCTCAAGCCGTCGGAGGCATTGGATATCTCAAGAGTCAGCAGCCCTGATGGAGAAAAATCGACAAGTCCCGACCTACCTGGATCAAAATAGAGTTAGGTGACATCTACAACGTCAGCTCACAAAGAGCCTCAAGAAAGATCGAGAGAACTGGTGGGCAACGATAGCCAGTGGAATGGAAGTAGAAGTTGCATCAGGGAATATTTAAAGACTGTTCCGACTGATATGCAATACGGGAGGTCGGCGAAATGCAGTTAGTGAAACAGTCTGTGATAAGATGGGACAAGCAATTCACAACAAGAATGAACGGCTTGATCGCTGGACGGAATACGTCAGCGAGCAGTTCAGCTGGCCTGCCGCAAACCAGGTTGCGTCATCTGCAACCGAAACTC